TTCCCCTCCCCCCCGCCCAATGCAGTCACCTTGTCCACAAGGTTCAAAGAATGAAACTATTGGTTGATTAATTCAAATGGTTCCCATGTTGCTTCCATAGGAGATAAACCTTTCCACTGAATCAAGACTTCCATTGCTTCTGTTGCACCTTGGTGTGGCTGTCTGAATCCGAGCACAATTTCTGGTTCCAAAGTAATTCCCAATCTTCACCAATTTGAGGGGGTAGGGAAGAAGTTACTGGAGCACCCCCGATCACCTTCCTTAATTGTGAAACATGGAAAACGGGATGGACACGGGCATCAGCTGGTAGTGCAAGCGATAAGCCATTTTTCCCACTCTTGCCAGTGTTTCAAACGGTCCATAGTACCTCGGAGCCAACTTCTCATTGTGGCGAACCACAAGTGACTTACGTCTATAGGGCCTCATTTTCACATAAACCCAATCACCAACCATATACTCCACATTCCTCCTATGTTTGTCGGCTGCTGTCTTCATTTGTTGCTGAGCTAGATGCAATTTCAACTCATCCAAAACCTTATCTCTTTCCAACATTTGTTGCTTCAAAGATGATATGGCTGTGGTACCCCTTTTGAAGCGAATTAGTGGAGGCGGATCGCGTCCATATAGAATGTAAAAAGGGGTGAGTTGAGTTGATACGTGAAAAGAGGTGTTATAAGAATAATCCGCCCAATGAAGAAATTGATACCGCCTTTTTGGTTTCACTGATGTAAAACATTGCTGATATGTCTCAACACCTCTATTTACCACCTCTGTCTGGCCGTCGGTTTGTGGATGGTACGCAGAACTGTGTTTTAATGATGTCCCTTGTAACCTAAACATTTCATTCTAGAACTGGCTCATGAACACTTTGTCTCGATCCGAAACTATAGAACGAGGCACTCCATGAAGCTTAACCACTTCTTTAGCAAAAATTGCAGCAATTGTTGGGGCTGAAAAAGGATGTTTCAAGCCAATAAAATGTGCATATTTGCTTAAATGGTCTACTATGACCAAGATCGAGTCGAACCCCTTCGACTTTGGTAGCCCCTCTATAAAATCCATCGAGATCTCCCCAAACTTTATCAGGAATGGGCAGTGGCTGGAGCAGTCCTGTTGGTGCTAAGGTAGAATATTTATGCTGCTGACAAATTTCACATGCAGCAACATAGGTCCAGACGTCCCGTCTCATCCCCTTCCAAAAGAAATTTTCTGCCACTCTCCTGTAAGTCTTCAGAAATCCCCTGTGCCCTCCAACCTTACTGTCATGCCCCTCCTGTAAACTTAGGGCCAAGAGCATCTTCTTCTACTGCCCAGGTCAGCATCTTCTACTGCCTAGTCTCAGGGAACTTTTCATGCGGCCCAGGTCAGCATCTTCTTCTATTGCCTTCCTGATTTCGGTTACTTCTAAAGAATGGGGCAAGCTTAGGGCCAAGAGCATTGCCGTTGTATCCACCCTTGAAAGTGCATCCGTCGCTTTATTTTCCATACTAGCCTAATATTCGACATCGAAGTCAAATCCCAGAAGTTTGGTCAGCCACTTTTGTTATTCTTAGTTCACCTCCCTTTGCTCCAATAGGAATTTGAGGCTACGCTGATCAGTTCGCACCACAAATCTACGGCCCATCAAATAATGTTTCCATTTTTGTACTGCTAATACAATGGCAATAAGTTCCCTTTCGTATATTGACTTACATTGAGCCCTTGGAGGAAGAGTTTGACTAAAGAATGCAATGGGTCTCTTGTTTTGCATAAGGACGGCTCCTATTCCATACTCGGATGCATCAGTTTCCACCTCAAAGGGTTGACTGAAGTTGGGTAACCCCAAAACTGGTGTCATCATGGCATTTTTCAATCTAATATATGCCGTCTCAGCCTCATCCAACCGCCCAAAACTGTCATCCTTTAACAGTTGTGTCAAGGGCCAAGCTATGCACCCATAGGACTTTTCAAACTGACGGTAGTACCCTGTGAGACCTAAAAATCCTCTTAGCTCCCTAATTGTCGTTGGTTAGGGCCAGTTCCTCATAGCTGCTACCTTGGACTCATTCGCTGCCACCCCGGATACTGAAATAACATGCCCCAAATACTCAAGCTCGTGCTGGTCGAACTGACTTTTTTTGCATTGGCATAGAGCTAGTTATCTGATAGCACTTGCAACACCATTCTCAAATGACTTCTATGCTCTTCGGTTGTGCGGCTGTAAACAAGGATGTCATCAAAGAACACCAACACAAACTTTCGCAGGTAACTTCTAAAAATCTCATTCACGAGTGATTGGAAAGTGGTCGGTGTATTAGTCAGCCCAAATGGCATGATGAGGAATTCATAATGGCCTTCATGGGTTCTAAAAGCTGTCTTTGGTACATCCTCTGGCCTCACCCTGATTTGGTGGTATCCTGATTTCAAGTCTATTTTGGAAAATATGGTGGCACCTCCTAGTTCGTCCAGCAACTCATCAATAACTGGAATTGGAAATTTATCAGGAACGGTCACTTTATTCAAAGCCCGATAGTCCACACAGCATTTTTCTAGAAATGAGGATATTGATAAGGTCGCACACTTACTAGAGTTGCTTCGAGTTGTAAATGAATAGCATGATCATGCTTCCTTGAGGAAGGGATGCAATTTAGCATTTCGAAAACATGTTGGAATTCTTTTAGTACCTCCTTAACTTGTGCTGGAGGATCTGCGTTATCAGAATTATTCTGTACCATAATGCTCCCCAACTCGAGTAACACACCTTCCCCTTGGGCCTTAAGCACTTTTATCATTGACTTCATCGACACCGAGGCTCTGCTCAAACTGGGATCACCCTGTAGTGCCACTGTAACACCTATCACTTTACTTGCATTTCGCCCAACTTTCGCAGCCATTGCATCCCCAAGATGATATCTAAAATGCCCAACTCTAATGGCTGAAAGTCGTCTATCACCGTTACATTCTGAAGTTGCAGTTTTATTCCCTTACAGATTCCTTGCCCTTTTACTGTTAGCCCCGTACCCATGATAACGCCATATCCGGTGGTGCTGGAAAGAGGTAGTCCCAGCTGCCGAACAACTTCTTTAGAGATGAAGTTATGTGAGGCTTCACAATCGACCAAGACCACCACACTTTTGTTCCCCAAACTGCCTCTGGTTTTCATGGTTTCCAGGGTGGTAAGTCCTACTACCGAATTGATGGAGAGTTCTGCCGGCGCCCCCCACTCCTTCCTTGTCTTCTCCTTGGTGTTTGTCAGAGCAATCGGTGCCATCTTCATCCTCGTCGACTCTTAAATCTAGTTCTCCTCCATCCCCTGGGTCTTTTTTATTTTCTCTTATCATCATTACCTGCAGTTCTTTATTTTTGCACCGATGCCCGATAGTGAACCTCTCATCACACTGGTAACATAATCCTTTCTCCTCATTCGCCTGAAGTTCAACATCCGTTAATCACTTGAATGGAGAGGTTGGTTTAGGCGAGTAACTGAGTCGATTTGGGATGAGATTGAGAGGCACGGTGGTCTTCTGGAAGTTGGGAGAGGGACGAGATTGAGAGGCACGGTGGTCTTCTGGAAGTTTGGAGAGGCTTGATGGTTTTGTGGGCTATTATTTATCTTGGGCTTACTTGGGTTAAAGAGGATTAAAGCATCCCTTTCCTCTACTCTTTGGGCCAGATCCATTATTTGCTCCAAGCCCACTGGGTTTAGCAATTGGACCTCAGCTTTTATACGTGGGTTAAGCCCATTAATAAAATTGCACTCCATTACCTCTTCTGAGATATTCTGCAGAGGTGATGTCTGCTTCTCAAACTGTCGGCGATATTCTTTAACCGTGGAGGTCTGCCTGAGTGCCAAAAATTGGGCGCACACTGAACCCACCTGTGACTACCGGAACCGGCGTAGCAGCTTGACCTTCAATTCCTCCCAATTTCCCATGGGTCGTCGGCGCTCCTCCCATTGGAACCAAACCAAGGCATCTCCATCCAAGCATGCAGCTGCTGCATCCCATTTTTCTTCTTCAGTCATCTTATTCACTATGAAATAGCGCTCAACCCAGAAGACCCAGCCATCTGGTCGAACCCATCAAACACCGGCATGTCCAACCGCCGGATCCTGGACTCGGATTTCCAGCTACTGTCTAATCCGCTTCCCAAACTTTGAGTCTCCTTCACACTGACTTGCCCGATGAATTAGCAATGGCCAGTCCTCTCTTTCCGGTCTCGCTCTTGGGTCTCCCATGATCTCATCAGTAATTCAAAATTTTCCTTCAAATCATTCTGCAATTGCTGAAACTCCTGTCTCATAGCATCCATGCCTGTTTGAATTGTTGCCTGGTTCGTTGCTACCTGTTGCTCCAATGAAACAACACGATCTGTGAGAGTCATGGCTGTTGGATCTGTTGCTCTAATACCACTTTGGTAGAATGCAATTCCAGAATTAATTCAAACTCACTGTAACCAAAAGGGGACGGCTGAAAATTAGCTTTTCTTATAACTGAATTGACGAAGAACGATGCTAATAATGAAAGAAAACTTAAGGAAAAATACAAGTAAACCTCTCTCTTCTTTCTCACTGGATTTCTGCTTACCCTTCTTCCCCCCTTACATGTTTATTTATACCCTTTTCTCAACAAACTTACTAACAGATTTACTGACTCAGCCTTCTTCTAGATATTTCCATCGAATCTTGCTCTCACGTGCTGGACTTCCCACCTTGTGCCTTACGCCTTGTATAAGTAAATTTAATTGGGGGCTTATCAGCTACCTCAGAGATTTTGTTCCCACTGACTTCGAATAAAGTTCTATCAGCAGTCTTACTGAAAAGAAATTGTGTTCTTTTGACGAAGTAATAACTGCCATGCACTTTTAATTTCACAGATTCCATTAGAATCCATGCTATGTCGACACTCTACACTTCACTGGTGTTTCTTCTCTTGAGCACCATAGGAAGTGAATCAATCTGTTTTATTTTTTTTACCCTCCATGGTCAGTTAGTGGCTTGCTCCTCTTTTCATCAACAAATCTTTGTCTAATTTATAATATAGGTGATTTCTTTTACATAATCTTGTATTGGTGAATGAGATTTTAGACCTGCTAAAAATTTCATTGGTTAAGAACTGGATCTCCCGCTGGAGAAAAATGATGGTTTGATGCTAAGGATTGTGTGATTGTTTATTGCATTCTTTGGTTGGAATTGTGGTCGAAAGAACAAATCTTAGTATTTCAAGTTCCACTGGTACAATTCTTTTCAATATGTTTAACTTATAATCATCATTTGACTTGTTAACACATACTCACGAGAGATATAAAAAGGTACTAAAAAAGTTTCTTACACATTGGCTCGGTATTTTGAGAAGCTTATTGATGCTAATTCTAGTGTGCAACAACCTCCCGAATTTTTCTTGTTCCATTGTGTGGCAGATTCAGAGAACTCGCATCATCAACGCCTTTCTGAATTGCAGCGGCTTCGTTCCATGTATGTGCTTTGTTTCCTTAGAACTGTATAAGTTTCCATTTTTCACCTTAAATGTTTAGTACATCAGTTGACTGGTGAATATCCTTTGACAAAGTGATCATTGAGTGGGTAAAGTTTATAGTAGAGAGCTCTGTAAACCTTCTAATGTATTATTTGCAATGATATTTAATTATACTCTTGACAACAGACTCCTAACAAGAACTATATTTGTAGGAGAAGGGGAAGAAGAGAGAGGGGAGAAGAAAGGGAAGAAATGAAGTAGGGGGAGAGGAAAAAGAGAAATATATAGAGGGAGAGAGAAAAACTGAGAGGGGGAGACAGAGAAATGTCTTTATTCAATAGTCTGTCTTACAATGAAAACCCTCTCGCTATTTATAGCTGACATTGCCTATAAACAAGGAAATAAAATAAAAAAGCTAGAAATTCTTTAAGAATAAACTCTAATTGCTTTTTGTAAAGTAAGTGTCCAAAGTTGGCAGCTATTCAAAAAAACATCTTTATTGATCTCTATCAACACTCCAATCTAATACTTATATCCAAAATGTTAGTAATCTCTAATGGCTAGTTAAGGAACTAACTTAGTTCCACATTCCACAAGTACTATGTCCAATAATGTTTAACAACGAAAATTTCGTTGCACAATATGGAAAATCTGATATAAATGCTTGTAAATAAAAAATGATTCAAGTTACTGTGTGAAAATAGAAGCTATGCCATCTTTGCCTGCTAGCATAATAATCATTAGTCTAGAAGGATGTTTAGACCTTTCGGATGACTTCAGTTAAAATTGACTCGTGTCTTTTGTATCATCAATCAAAGGATGATACATAGTTTTGAAGTTGTGCCTTTTTTCTGAATTTTTCAGTATCAGCTTCTTGTATATGTTTAGTGTTGTATTTTTTTTATGCACTTAATTTCTTTTACCTTTCTAAGGTGATGCTGATGTAGGACAATCCTATCCACACCAGATGCACTCAGTTTTGTGCCAATACTTGTTGTACGCATGAAAATCATGTTCTTTGCATGAATTTGAATGAGGTCCCATGTACTGTGTCAAGTGTAGAGACTATGTTTCATTACAGCATCATGTGCCCTTTGATTAAAACATCATTACTTTTTGTTAAAACGTCACTTGCTTTGTGGTCTGAAACAATTGTGGACAGATTTGGAACTAGTGAAAGGCAGTGGGTGGAAGCTCAAGTTGAAAATGCTAAGCAGCAAGCTATTCTTATGACATTTAAAGCTCAAGTGACTTCAGATGAAGCTCACATTCATCTTGATCTTCATTCTCTTAGGTAGTGCTCTACCTTCATCTGATTTTAGAAATTTTTTTGTTGTATCATTGTTGATCATCACTTTCCTATGAACGAGATGCTCACTGTTCTCTAATTTCTTTCCATAAGAAAATGTTATGCTGTGTCTTATGTTATTTGCAGATTTCCTGCTTTATATTTGCAAGTTATGTTAGTTTTACGTATCCTTAATTATTGCTCTTTGAAATTGACGTAAGCTCTTCAATAGGTATTAAAAATGGTAATCCCAACCTCCATTCTAGACATTCAAACTTTACTTGGCTATGGGTACTAGTGTGAGGATTTAAGGTTGGTAAGGATTGGGAGAGTGGAAGGGACCCACATTTCTTGATTTCTTGGAAGAACAGGGGGAAGGGAACAGAAGGTGGAAGGGTGAGCTGATCCGTTGTAAACAATATCTCTACTTCAATAAATATTGGAGAAGCTTGAGGATTGAAAAGCCTAAATGACGCTGACATATTAACAAAAACATGATGCCACCGTACTGTACTCTACTAAGCAACTGAAAGGAAGTAATATATCCATTACAGAGATGACTGCATTGAATCTTTCCCATTTTCCCTCATCATAATGAATTTAGTTGTAATGACTGCAACATAAATAAATCAAAGGGGAAAGAGAAAACGAGTGAAGAAAGTGTTTGGTGAGCTTAAAATTGAGAATATTATCATTTTTATCAAGTACAGGATCTTTATTCTTATTTCTGCTTCCTGGAAGAATTTCTATGACGGCTGGACATTCGTCAGATATAAGGAATCTGTTTACTTTTATATGCTATCATGTTTGATTTTTCTATTTAATTATCAAGATAGAATGAAGAAGCTTGGCCTCTATTTTTTTTAATTTTTTTTGGACATTCTGTTCATCCTTTGTTCACAATTCAAGTTTAAATCTTATAAATTCTAATTGAACTGCTGCTGCTTGTTCCATTTAGGCAATCAATACCCTTTCAACTCAGATACTTTATTTTAAAACTCTACCCATCTATTTTATAGATGGGGTATGTCTGGCTAAGGTGTGATGATTTTTGAACTTTCCATATATAGAAAAGAAATAGAAAGAGAGATACTAGAACGGCTACAATAACCGTTAAACTGTTTTTCTCATTTATCCCTTATCTGCTGCAGCATCACTTGTACACGTGCTTGGATGTATTTTAGTTCATTCAGAGTATGAAATCACTTGTATGCAGTATCACTTGATACAGCATGCTTTTGGTGCTTTTACTAATTTGGATATAGCATGACCTGGTTGGTGCAATTACTTATGCTGGGTGCATATATATATAGCTGATGTTATTTTCATTTTTGTTGCTTTGTTCTCGAGAATATATTTTTTAGATGTGATATATCTGGTAATTACCCGAGACTGTTGCTGTTAGTATTCTTATAATTGTGTGATAGAACAATAAACTAGTCTTAAGTGTTTTTCTTTATTTTTGTTGAGCATGTTGCCATTTGTACTTCATGATATTTTTCTTTATTTTTGTTGAGCATGTTGCCATTTGTACTTCATGATATTTGCCCGTTTAAAATGAGAATTAATATCATGTTGACGAGGTCCTAGAAATATAACTTGACATGTTAGAACAGATCACAATAGAAGAAACATTAGCCTGAGGAAGAAAGCTCACTTTTGCATTCGATGCTCAAAATTTGACCATGTTATCTGGTAAATTTTGTCTTGTGTGGAGGATTTTTGGTATGCACAGTATCCCGACTAAATACGTGTTGCTAACTGCAAATAATAAATAATCACTGCAAGTTTGTGCAATTAAATTATTTATGACTTCACTAAGTGTAGCGAATTTTATGATGTTTGTCATCATACTTCTTATCCTTTGAGCAGGAGAAAACATGCTGAATTTGCTGGAGAACTTTCTTCTTTATATCGCAAAGAAGAGAAGTTATTATCTGAGGTTTGTATCTGCTGATAACCTGCTGAATTGGTCCTTGCTACATCTAAATTTATTGTTTATGTATGTACTTTGTCCTTTGTAACCCTTGGGAATCTGATATTTACTTCATGATTTATAAAGCCAATGGTTGGTATGTTTATAGTTTCTCTGTGAAACCGTGATGAGAAATTATACGCCTTTCTCCTCCCATATCAGTGAGCAAGCCACATTTATGTTGGTACCAGGAAATGGATGGAATATGTTCCGTGCAAAGTGCAGCTTCAGATTTAGCTAAATTAACCCCCTATAGGATCACCCTTTCCCTGAACCTGCCAACAACAGAAACAACAAACTAAGCCTTATTTCTAATAAATTTAGGTTGGTTACATGAATACTTCATTGCCATTCAGCCCCCATCATTGCTAATTCTGCTGGGTGATCTTAAGCAACTACAAAAGTCCATGATAATTCTGGTCTACCTCACCATTTTGCTCTACCGAATGGCATCACTCTTAAGAATGGGTTAGGTTGACACAAAACATGCCCCAATCACCTAAGTTATCTTTTTCCTCAATTTATTTTCAATCGTCAACACCTTCACTTGCTGACATATATTCTAATTTCTTATCTTGTCGGTTTTAGTATGACTAAGTCCATCTTAGCATCCCCTCACTGCCATAAAGCAAAACAGGTCCAGTTATTGTTCTGCAGAACTCGCATTTTAACCTTAAACGAATCTTCATATCACATAGATTTCTCGTACCACTTCTCCTTTTCATTCAATCCACTCTAGTCCTATGCAGTACAACCTCTTTAATTCCTTACTCGTTAATAATTGAACCTGTATTCTAGAAACAATCACCTTTTGGAATATCACGGTCCTACGTAATACTCCATTATTATCTTATTCCTATTAATACTGAATGTGCATTGCATGTATGTATTGTGTCTTGTTTTTACTTAAACTAAAACATTAAGATTCAAAGTACCCTTCCAAAGTTCTAAATTTTGATTTAGCCCCCTTTCGTGTCTCATCAACTAAAACTATGTTATCAGCAAATAATATACATCAATGGTCTCATTTTGAATATGTTCTATAAGCTCGTCCATTACTAATGTTAATGTAAAAGGTAAGTGGTTCAGGTAGAAGAAGTATGAACACTCGTTTTCAACTGATTCAAAAGATTTTACTGCTTTCATTTGTTCTTTTTCCTTCACTGGATAAGTAGTACCTTGCATATAGGGGTGCACTCTTCTAACCAATCTGGATACCCTAACTCACCATCTGATTTCTGAGAATGTTAACAATTATTTTATCATGCTGTGGCCTCATCATAAATATAGAACTGATGACTTGGGGCATAATGATCATGTGAGAGAACTAGAAGAAAATGAAAATTCAGATACAAAGATATCAATACGGTTAATGTAACATTTTTGGAGTTCCAATTAGTATTATATTGATTAATCGCATCAGATTTTGCAAATCATAGTAATAATTTTTTGATAGTGAGGTTAATGGAACATCATTGGCATTCATATAAGAATTATGATTAATAATCATCTGAGTATTGCAAATCATAGTAAGAATTGTTTGATCGCGAAATACAACATATACAAAGCATGAATGACTTGGGGATTTTATTTCAATACCAGTGGGAATCAAGCTTGCATGACTGGATATGATTCATGATCTTTCTTGACTGTTGTGATATTTCATCCTAGAATATTAATATGCAATTCTCTCTATTGGAAAATATAGATTAAAAAATAAATTTCTGTCTTCTTTAACATTTTAAACCTTTTTTGTTATCTGGTAATTTTAATATGACCTTAGATTACATAAAGGAGCTAGACTCAAGTCTCACAACTAGCCATTATGAAATTACACTCGCTAGCCTTTCAAGGAAATGATTACTATTAGCATACAAGGTGGTATGCCGAAAATATTAATAACTAAATTTCTCAGCTCTGATAGTCTTAAGTTTTTAGTTGTGGTGATAAATAGTTTCTTTAGAGTTTCAAAAAGCCTTGAAGACAACATGCAATTTGACATTTTACTCCCATAGACATTCCTCTTGAATTGCATTTAGCAATGAAAGCATGATTGAGTGCACAGCTGGAGTGGAATTTCATGCAACAACTAGGTCAAATGATTGCCCCAAAATGAACCTCATTTTTGGGTTTCATATAATTTGTTGATGTTTGACTGTATTCTTATCCTTAGTTATAGCTTTCTTTCTTCCCAAGTGTTACATTTGTGTAAATGCTCACTGCAAAATTTCTTCAGACCATTCCTGATCTCTGTTCGGAGCTGGCTCAGCTGCAAGACACATACATCTTGCAAGGTATAGATCGCTTACAATCATTTTTTGGTTGCAATCACGAATAAGCATCACATTCTACATCTGTATCTTTACCCTGTAGATGTGTTTGTTTGCAATTTATTCTTGTTGATAACATAAGTTTATGATTTGAATATATAGGGGACTATGATCTGAAAGTTATGCGCCAAGAACTCTATATTACTCGGCAAAAAGTGGTATGTTTAGCACATCGAATTTTTTTCATGTTGCACATTCAAAGATGTGAGTTGAGTTCATTCCATGACAATGGTTGCATTTAGCATATTTTGACATTTCTTCTTCTCAACCTGTTATCATTAGCATAAAGCAATCAACATGTCCAAATTCTAATTAATTAGTTTATTCAATTAAATTCAATTATCTGTTTAAATTAATTTCAAATCAAATTAAACGTAATCAAACTAAATCCAACTATGAAAATAGAAAGCAAAATTAAAATGAAACAATCTTATTAAGCACAACAGAAATAGAAATTGAAGTGATTGGTATAAAGATAAGGATAGAATTATAGAAATATAGTTTAGGTAGGATTTTAAAATAGAGCTCATTAGATTAATTTTAATATTTTGATAAGGTTTTAGTTCAGTGTAAGTTCTTTTGATTTTAGATTAGTTGAACCAGTTCGAATCCCTTCAGGACTACTGAGGTGAGTACTCTACTATAAACTTTAGGACTTCGTGGGATTAGTTGAAGTGCGTGTAAACTAGTTTGGACACCCACGGTCATTAAAAAAAAAAAAAAAAAGATAGAGGATTTAATCATTGTAATAGGTACCCTTGAATATATGAATAAATTTATTTCTTCTTTTTCCTAATATATTCTCTTCTTTGATCCCCTTTCTTATTGTTCTTTTCAATTGTCTATTATCAAATTGTTACATTCCTGTGCACGTCAATAAGAGCAATGCGCCTGGGAAGTGTGGTGGGGGATTTAGAGTTTGGAGTGGGAGGCAAGGGGTGAGGCTAGAATCTTTGCTGAAATTGTGTGCGCGAGTGTCAGACTCAGGTGGAGGGGGACGGAATTTTAAGATTTTGGGATAGTGGGGGTGGGTTTGCTACTGATTGAAGTCAGTGGGGTCCCAGTCTCTTGGTACTTGGGTTAGCTCTTTTCAAAGGCAGATAGCCTTGATTGGAAGACAATCACTGTATTAAAAAATAAATAAAATAAATACTATTTGAAAAGAAAAATGATCCCAGAATCCCCCACCCCTGCTCCGCCGGTGCGTTCACCCTACATAATTTAATACTGGTAGGAAAACTGAAAATGTACATTGATCATGATTTTTTTTGCAGTCAAGTTCATTGTTAATGATAGCAAATACCTAGACTAATAACATGGCTTGTTTAGGTTAATCTGCATACCATTGAAAACATAAAGGAAGATCTTGTTGGAAAAATATAAAACGTAGTATAAACATTTTTGTCATGGGATGGGGCGAGGAGGATCAAATGAAAAGAACACTATCTTTTGATGCATGTGAGCTCTTACTTACTTCTATTAGGACTTGCTTCTAAAATAGCTCTTTTTGTTTGCTGGATTTACTTAATTATCTTTTTTATTTTTTGTAGTTCATAAATCATTTAATCAATCAGCTGTCACGACATCAATTTTTGAAACTAGCATGTCAATTGGAAAAGAAGACCATGCATGGAGCCTACTCCTTGCTAAAAGTTATCGAGTTAGAGCTGCAAGGATACCTGTCAGCAACCAAAAGTAGAGTGGTATGTGTGCAGTTAATCAGTTATTAGCAATCTTCTCAATATTATGACCCGAAAAAAGAGGGGAGAAAAAAGGCAAATAAAAATTCCCAATTGTTTGATTGAGCTGGAAATCAATTCCAAAATTTTATATGTCGTAAAATTTTGTAGATTCCTGGACAGAAGTTTTCTTGGAAATCCATTATTCCTTTATCATTTTTCCTTGGCTTCATTTTCCATTCAGACAAGCATTGTCTTGCAGGAACCTATATGATACTCTAGAAAATTCATATTTGTTTTTAAAAAATGTGTTGCTGTTTGTAATTTGTGCATGCATTGTATTAGGGCCATTGTATTGCATTGGTTCAAGCTGCATCTGATGTACCTGAACAAGGAGCAGTGGATGATCGAGACACTTTTCTCCATGGTGTTAGAGATCTTTTGAGTATATACTCGAGTAAGTCTGCAGATCTTATAAAACGTAGTGCTGTTCTTTAAAGAAAATGAAGTCTCATTTGTCAATTCTCAGATGCGCAAGTTGGTTTATCAACGTATGTATCTGCACCGGGCATTGTTCAGCAATTATCTAACCTTCATTCCGACCTGATGGCTCTGCAATCTGACCTAGAACATACCCTTCCAGGCGACAGAAATAGATGTCTTAATGACCTGTAAGTTATTCTTCTTAATCATATTCTTGCTCTTTTAATGTCACTCTGAAGTGGTTTGAAATCAAATGTTTTGGTGTTTGTTTAAGATTTGAAACTCTTTGCTTACATCTGGATATATATGCATCCTTATTGTCTTCTGTGTTTCACAAATAGAAGTGATGCAGTTAGTGATGCTATGCACAAGCAGCATCTCACTGATATCTTTCTTTTGATGTATCTTAGGTGTACCCTTGTTCAAAATTTGCAGCAATTGTTATTTGCATCATCAACAACTGCACAACCAATACTGACACCATGGGTACAATTTTATTCTTATAATTATAACTTACAATTTTCTATTATATTCTTATAATTGTATCTTACTTGTCACATATTTAATATACTCTGAGTACCTTTTAGTTTTCTGTGAGATTACTTTAGAAGTGACTTGTTGTATTCTTTTATCTTACAATTAATATAAGCTGACTCCGTCATAACCTCTTACTTTTAAGATTTGAACATTTGCAATGCCATAAAATGCATTTCATTCCTTTTCTATGTCCACCCCTTTGGCCAAATTAAATTCTTAACATCCTCTACACACTTTTGCTGTTCATATCAGCTTAATGGAAAATTATGTGGGCTCTCATCGAGTATCTTTTATTTGATTTTTGTTCTAATTTATAGGTGTTATAATATTCGAAGAGACCAATTAGTTTCTTTGTAACCGCTGCAAACCACATTAATTTTGGTCTGCCTATATTGACACATCAATATTGTGAGCAACTGAGGATGAGCTTCTTTGAGTAGACATGTTTCAACCAATGAAGCTGTCCTCCATTAATTTCCTGGGCTGTTCTTGTCTTGTAAAATATTGATGGAAATTACTGGTGTCATTTCTAGGAAAATGGAGTTTTTCTGTATCTGTTTCTATCCCCACGTTCTTTTGAGTAGTAGTTGGGTTTGCTAATCGATTTTATTGGTTTAGCTTAATGTTCAGTGTGTAAATGAAAACTATGGTTTGAGAGCCTAACCTTTTGAGGATTCCTTTTGAAACTATTTGCTTAAATAAATTGACTTATGTTCACATCATTTTAATCTTCTCATCTCTCTCGATCTCTAGACATTGATGAAGGAGCTGGATGAAATGGAAAAGGTCAATGCAAAGCTCTCAACTGCAGTTGAGGACGTGACACTTGAGCATTGCAAGAAGAATGAGGTATATTCAATTTCATTCCTCCAGTTGCTGTGTTATAGCTTTCATTATTTCTTCAGACGAATCTTTAATTTCTTGCTAAACTAGAATTATACTTCTTCAGTCATTTACAACCATGCAGATTAAGAATAATAATTCTCGTTTTAGAAAATAAAAAAATTAAAAATTGTCAAGCTTCATTGACAGAATACAATTTGCTAAGTTAAAAATGTTGAGATATATTCTTGTGTTCATCTCTTATCTTCAAACGTGTTTCATTATCCTGAAACTTGTGCCTGTCCTATATCTCTTACACAATGCTTGCTCTCTTCCACATCCTTGCTAAATGCAGATTGTAAAACATCATTCACAAGAGATAACATTCCAAAGGCGGGTCTTTGTTGATTTTTTCTGCAATCCAGAACGTTTGAGGAACCAAGTCAAGGAACTGACTTCAAGAGTCACAGCTTTGCAGACATCATAACATGTACAGTTGTGTGTATGATATGTATTATATGTTAACTAATCAAATATGCTGTTTGTTAGTTCCCATGTTTGGTTGATTATGTTTTCCCTATAAATTGGAGGTTTTCTTCAGTGATCTGTTCGTGTGTATGGTTTGTCAATGACGATTTGCTTCATGAAAACCTCTTTACATTGGAGAAGTATGTTGGATTGGTTCTTAAAATATAAGAAACAATTGGGTTACTAATTTTAGAATCTTAGCTTGTATGGCTGGGTTCAATAAACTCATGATCACAATAACTTTATTTTATTTCGAGTTGGTTATTTATAACCCCGTTACAATTTGGATTCTGTAAGCAGAAATACTCCAAGTACAATCTGGGATCATTATATATCTGCTACTACGTTTACGATTGAATGTTATATTCTCTTGGAATCTCTTACTTGAAAAAGTTGGGATCTTGAATTTGTTGTAGTAGTTGGCTGAAGGGTAGATGTTGAGTATCCATCCGGTCTGTTGGTGTTTCATGGCTTAGTTTTCTGGTGTAGGTGACACTTGAATGATTTAGGATGTGTGGTTGGAGCACATATACAGAGTTTCTTTGTTTTATCAATTTGCTTGATGTCCTCTGCATTAACATCTTGGAGTTCCCTCTCCTTGTTTTCCTGTGAGTAAAATAAAACTGTGGTTAGTTTTGAATGGAACATGAAATTAATGTTAACTCGATCAGGGATGGGGCAACTTTATCGCATAAACATGGTCGTTCTTATTTATGTACGTACTCTTTTTCAGTATTATCATCCTTTTTTGTAACTTGGTGGGGTCATTCATTGAATCAAAAGCTGTAGAAAGGATTTTTTAGGAGAAAGAGAAATACACACAATGACGTGTATTTAGGATCTCTCTCTCTCTCTCTCTCTCTCTCTCTCTCTCTCTCTATATATATATATATATATA